GAGATTCCTCAATTTCATAATTGAGGAATGTTTTATTAGAAAGATTGAGCAAAAACAGCTTAATTTGAAAGACCAGACCTGAATCTTAATCTAACTAAATCCAGGAATATTTGTTATATTATATTCATTTTATAAAATAAAACCCAAACTGAAAACACACAGTTATATTTTTCTTAGTATTTTCATAAGACTATTTTATCGAAAAACATTTTCTGAAGAGGTTAGAGAGTGTTCCACACTCAATTACCCTAAAAGTTGACCTTTTCATGATACATAATGTTTTAGAGATGCCAAAGTCATTGTGTGTATGCAAATATTGTCATTTTGTGAATATTCACCCTTCTTCATAACATACATATTAATAAAGGGGAACATATTAAAAACCTATAATGTTTGCATCTTAAACCGTGTCTTCAAGTGACAATTAAAGTAAAATATATTCAAAGGAACATCAGAAGCCAAAGGATAATTTTGTGTTTGTTAGTAAATAAGATAATGACTACTTGCTCAAAGATCTTAAGTACATGCAGAATGTTATTACCATCTGTCCTGAATGACCTCCATCTGCCCAACGAATCCTTAAAATGCTCTGTATGCACCCAGTATTAATGATTCCCCAATATAATCCTGGTACGTTGAAAAGCATCTAACCTCACAAAATGCTACTTTAAAATTTGCATTTGCCAATAAAATTAGTTAAAAAACGTTCCAGTATTTATGATTAATGTCAAATAATGTACTTTCATGGAAATTTTATTTTCAGAAATACCTTTGTATGTTATTAATACAGTATGTAGGTGGCTGGAAGATAGATATTGGGCTGTGAAGTATGTAATATCCTTTTAAAATACTGAAATCTTTTATAATTCCATTCTTTATTACTTGAAAATTATTCTAATTTTATGCAGTTAAAAGTCTTCTAAAAAGATAATTTTAAAATGTAAAAGATTTAAAAAAAAAAAAAAAAGACTCATGACCCACACGTCTATATAGTTAAATTCTTGGTGCATCATTTTACAAATTTTTCTATGTATGTACATATATATTTTTAGAAAGTGTGATTATAAGTAATACAAAGTTTTTAAGCACAAACATAATGTCTGTCAGAAGAGAATATTAAGAAGTATGGAAAATCAAGTGAGGTTAAGTACTTCTATGAATGTATTTACCATGGTTTTAATTAAATTTAGGAATAGATCTGTTACTCATGCTTTATTTTATAAAAGGAGAGCAGAAGGAAAATATAGGAGGTTACTAAGATCAATTTAGGTTTGACCAGGTACATATATATATATATATTTCCATTTTATGATATAATTTACGTTTCATTTTATGATTTTATAAGATTATTTGCAACTATCCAAACATTACTAAGCACATATATGCTCATAATATGTAGATGAGATGATAAATTTTCAGTTGCTTTTATCAAACTTATTTATGAATTTATATGATTCATATTTACTAGGGACTCATTTCTAGAAACATTTCAGAAAGGGGCCGGGGATTTAGCTCAGTGACACAGCACCTGCCTGGCAAGAACGAGGTAGTGAGTTCAATTCCCGGTACTGGAAAACAAACAAACAAACCAAAAAAACAGAAATTTCAGATTCAAACTCAGTATTGAATAGCATTTACTAATCTCAGGTGCTTTTCTTTGTGCTTGTTTCCTTAGTAATACATTTGATTTCTATGTTGATTGCAATTTTCCCCATCATTCTTGATACCTACTAGAGCAAATGTTAAAAAACACACCAGATTTATAGCCAGTATATAATTTTAAAAAGTCAAATGGAAATTGATATATAATGATATACAATGAGTTGGATATACAGTGCTGTCACTATGTGTAGAAGAGATTTATTCTTAAAATTTTCCAAGCAAAGTTCTGCCATAAGGAAATTATAGATACTTCCTACTAACTTTTGGTAAAAGAAATATTGAAATGGAATGTGCTTAGTAGGTGGTAATATATGTTGCTGAGTATCTCTGGTAGACTATTGTACTAAATTCAACAAAAATAGTATTGACATTTACTTATTTAGACAGGAACAAAGAAACCATCATAAAAATCATTATTCTAAGCAATATGTGGACAGTAAGGAATTAAAGCTCAGTATTTTGAAAACTATCATGTCAGTAATATATTTACCATCCAAATATTCTCTAATATGTGATAAACATTCACTTAAGTTCAGAATGATTCTATTGCTTTTGTTCCTTTATAAAAAATGATAATCTGAATGCAAATTATTCCAGAATTTCAGTTTTATTAAGTCAGTATTCTCATAATATGCAAAAGCTACTGAAGTAATAGTTAGTGAATAGATGAATTTTGGGGAACCGTGAGAGCCTGTCCAGACTGGAATGGGGGACAGTTGGAGAATGAAATCTGGACACACTGCGCAAATCTACAGCAGCTGCCTGGAGACCACCTATATTAACTTTTCAAAGTTTAAATTTAGCATTTGGTCAGCAGATTCATAGTGAAAACCAATTATAGATCAAGGAGTTAATGTGGGTTTTTCACAATTTTTCACAATTCAAGAGCCTAGCTTTTATGTATTACTTAAGACACATTCCAGAGTTTCCAGACTTTTGTTTCCATTAGCAGTCATTATATCTCTACTTACACTATTGTCCAGAAGCATAGAGAAGTGCTCATGACTGCAGTAGCACTGTGCTGTAGATTAGATTTAATGCCTGATGTGTTCCTTACTCAAGAAACTGATTCTGTACCTTAGTTTTTGGAGTTACTCTAAATTACTCCAAAACCCTATACCACAATCTTTTTGGGGTAGAAATGATAGGGCTTGAAATATGCATTATTGTGTTTGTGATTAAACATCCAAGGGTATTAGAACACCTGCCCCCATACTTACTTATATATAAATTACATTAATTTTGGATTTTTGTTTAGATTTACACCCAATCAAGAAGAAATTAACTGTCTAGCAATTTTTTATACATTACCTTTAAAATGCACACCAAAGTGTGGAAACTTGGGGTACAGCATACCAGAATGTTACAAATATATAATTACTGTCAGTTAGGTCCATACTTTAGACAATGTTATAATAAAGCAATATATAATCAAAGTTGTTTAGTTCTACTACTAATGAGTTGTCAAAGCTCTGGTAGGAAAAGTAAATGTCCTTCCCAAAAGAAGAATTATGAAGCATTATTCACCTTGTGAATTCTTATTTGTATAAGAGCTTTAATAAAAGCTTTACTCCATGATTACATTGCAAAGATTTCATGTTTTGATGATTTATCACAAATCCAAAAGCACAGCCTTATTTCCTTGAAAAAATGTATAAAAGTGCATCTAGGGAAAAACTTCCAAACTATGATAGTATAATTTGAGTCTTCATTATATTGAATTTATTTTTAAGTCACTACAACATGTAGAGAATTCAGGTATTTGACATTCATTCATTTAAGATAAATTGAACTAACACAAATGCTGCAAGACACTGTAGCAACGGAAAATGGTAATGTAGGTTCAAAGGATGTAGTCACTCTCTGTCCTAGTGAATGAATCCCTGCTTTGTTCTTGAAATTTAAAACATGACTTCAAAAGTGCCATGAATTAGTTAGTATGTGTTATAATATTAATCAACAATCGTGCCCATGTGCTCAGCTAAGTGATTATCCAACTTTCCCTTTGTTGGTACAAAAGGTCTGTTATACATAACTCAAAGTAAAATATTTTTATGGACTCACATTTTTTGAGATTTAAGTACATGATTTGCTGCAGAAGAGTATGCCAGAACCCAGGAGCTCACTTCATGGCAGATGGGAAGCAGAGCATGAGAATGGAGCAACTCACAGAGCTACACCCTCATAGAACAGGTCCTCGGTGTTCCACCTCCTGACATTTCTGTCTTCCATGAAACTTGTTGGATTAAATCACAGAAGAGTAGAGTGCACCCAAGATCCAGTTTCCTCTCATGAGTCTCTTAATCCAATCAAATTGGCAATAAAGACTAACTGGCACATCCAAGGACTGTACTTTATGATTTCTTTATATGACTCTGTTGTTTTTTCAAAGTACTGAACAATTTGTAAAATAAGCCAAACTTATTGCCCTTCTATTTAAGAAGAGTAAATCAAAGCTAGTGTGTTAAGCAACTTTTGAGGGTTATAACAAGTGATAGGTTTGACAACCAATCTAGAATATAGTGACTCCAAACGTGTGAGCTTAACACATTAAATGTTGTCAAAAGTATTTTTAGTTTTTGAAGTGGTTATCAAATGATATCTGTATGAATTCAAGAGAAAGGCTGTAAATGAGTAATTTTGATTTGTTAAATAAATCAGCCTCAAATAGATATTCAAAAAGCAATAGGGAAATAACACTTGGTATGCTACAAAATTTATAATAGCAGTATGAAAAATACTTCACAATATTTTATAATAAAAAATATTTCACAATGTTCCTAAAGTTGTATACAGAGAATAGAATAAGATGTGATTAATCGATTGCCAGATGTAGGCAAACACACATGGATAGACAGGAAGATGGAGAAATAGAAAATGAGGAAATAAAAATAACAGAGAAGGAAGGAAAGAAAATATATGTGTATATACAAACATAACAGGGATGATTGAACTGCTGATGTCCATTGGTTTATTGAAAGGAACAGTTATTGCTTAAATCTTTTCTTTTCTTGGACCAATTTAACATGCTTATATTTGGTGGTCTGAGAGACTAATTTGGGGACAACATATGCAGTGTAACAACCATTGTTCAATTCCTACCATCTTGTCTAGTGAAGATTTGTAACATTTCTAATTTTTTATTACTTTTTAGTCTCTTTAATTGTTTCATTAATCTTGCATTCTTTCATCTGGTAATCTGAGCAATTTCATGGAAGATAACAATATGTAGTATAATAACCACTGTTAATTTGTACCATCTTGTCTTGAAATTCTGTATCATTTGTATTGTTTTTGTGTTGTCTTGTTTTAATCTTTGCTATTGTTATTTTGTTTTATTTCCACTTTAAAATAAAAAAGAGAGGAGAGTAGAGACGTATTTGATGTGTGTGTGTGTGTCATATTCCTTTAGAAGAATATATGAGAACTGAATTGAAATGTTTGCAAGTAAGAGATTTGAAAATGCAGTCTGTGATTTGTACCATGCATTGTGTTGAGTCTCTATGCTCTAGGTAAGTGGGGACAAGCATTTCTTTGAAGGGCTTGGGATTTTACACACACCTTTGTTTTACTTGGCATACAGTCTCTTAGGTTTTCCATGTATTTTCCTTTTCCATGTGTCCCCAGTGTGGCCTTAAACCTTATGTGAAAGACCTATGTGCCTCCACTGTAATCAAACAGTCATCTACTACCTCATATGTTGGGTTAATATATGTTCCATGCATAGAGGTTTACCTTTTGAAAAAGGATACAAGGGCCAGGGATATGGCTCAGCAGCACAAGCACCTGCCTGGCAAATGCAAGATCCTGACTTCGATTACTGGTACCAAAATATATATATAAATGAATTATCTTTTGTAGAACCATACAATATGAAGTTACAGAGTCCAACGATTTTCACTTAACAAAAGACATAAGGTGCATCTATGCAATTGTGTTAATACACAATTTCTTCCTCTGATTTTGGGATAGAATTTCACTGGATAAGTGCATCATGGATTATGCATTCACCTGTACAAAGGAAATCTTGAGTTAGATTGATATTTATACAGCTGCAATCATATGTAGGACTCTGTGAATATAAGGTTTCTATTGACATTAGTTAATACTTAGATATTAATTGGCTAAGTCAAAAGAAAAGTGTATATTAAACTCCAAAATCTATGATCAAACTCTCCCAAAAGAGCCAGACAATTTTAAATTTCCAAAAGCAATGAATAAGATTTTTTTGTTACCTTATTCCTTGGCATTCTGTTTTCCACTTTGTTTTAATTACATAATTAATCATATAATGGTATAATATTATGGTTTTAATTTCCATTCTCCTGTTAACTATGAAGGTGAGCAATTTTACCCTGCTTACTTGCTAACTGGCAACCATATATCTTATATGTATTTATATTTTTTGGACATTTAAAAAATGGGTGTGGCACTGACAAATGAACTCAGGTATTCTGCACTGTTTGTTTTTCAATTATCTGGTTTTAAGATACTAAAATATAATTTGAGTTTTAATTGATAAAATAGGAAAATAAACAGAACTCACATACAAGAAGATAAATGAATGTCTTGCCATCCAGTGTTTTATACATAAAGTATGTCCAGCAAATTTTTGTTGCTATTTCTGTTCTATTAAGAGGAGTTTTGTGTGCCTCTGTGTTTATTCATTTTGTTTGAAAAGATAAAATTTAAATACAAGTATGGAGAGAAGACACAGAAAAATCTAAGTTTTACTGAGTTAATCGTACATAAATAATAACATTTTAGAAAAAATTCTTAAAGTGCTAAATTCAGATATAGTACAATAATCTGTTCTTTAAAAAAAAAGAAAAAAGAGCATATTATTGGAGATTAAATTGCCTAAAATGTGATGTTGATTTCAGAGGCCTAGGATAATAATTTCTAGGTGAAGTATCAGAAAATATGTTTTTGGACTATAACCACTTTTTGGTAATTAAATAATCATTTTGCTTATTTATGATAAAAAAGAAAAGCATCTGATTAACCTGAATTATAAAGGCAAATAAACTTTTTGCCATAGAAGAGCTCTTCTCTTACTTATTTTTCACTTTGGCTGAAAATAACTTTTTTAAATTGTTTATTGGTACAACTTAGATATACACAGAAATCATTTTTATCATGGGGAGTTTGTATACTTATCTGATATATTTTGAATTCTCTTTTACTTCCCAATCCTCTATCTTCCCTTCTACCCCTTTTCCCTTGCCTACTTACAGTTTTGTTTCCATTTTTCCCTTTTGTATGAAGATGCTTTGATGTGCCCATTTGACTTTGTGCTATCAATGGGAAACGGGTCACTTGTTTCTCATATGAATGTTATGAGTACTCTGGTTGATGCCCTGTGGAGAGGAACACAGTTTGTGACTTAAGAATGAGGGAGACTCCGGAACAGTGATGGATATTAGTGCTTCTTTTTCCTGCATCCATAACAGAGGAATAGTAGAACAGAATAGAATTGCCACACCTAACTTCAGATATAATCTATGAGATTACTACAAAAGGACCAAGTCATTTATCTTTAATGCTCTCTATCAATAGTACATTAGCTTTCAACCTCTGGTGGAATTTCATTTACTCAAAAATGTGTTAGATATAAAACTGTATGAAATTTTAAGTCATTTACATGTGAATAGAAAATACATATCTATTTAATGGTATGGGTGATAGATATTGTTATAGTTTGTATCGTAAATGTCACTCAAAGACTCGTAGCCTGAAAGGGTTTGTCGTTCTTGTGTGGTGTGATTTGGGGGCAGTTGAACTTAGGAAGTGGAGCCTGGTGGAAGAAAGTTAGGGGATACTGAGGACTTGGGGATACTGAGAACTTACGGAGTGCTCTGATTATAGTCACACAGCACCATACCTGGCTGATACCTCCAGGCACTAAAGTACCCTGTGCCCGCCTGGGGTGGGATGATTGAACAAAAGCACTGGCTGAGTGAGTGTCTGTTTGCCTTCCCATGTGAACTGGGGCATATTTTTGTCAGTCTAAATTTGAAAGAAACACTTTCTTCAAAGCAGACAAGAAGACTAGAGAACAAAGACAATACCTGTGTCGGTCCCAGAATAGGGTTATTTTTTTTGTTTCTTTCTTTTCAGAGAATAATTTGCTGTCAGTTATAGGAGGTCTGATCAAGAAGAGAATATTGAGAAGGACATAAAACGAGAGTACAGGGCAGGGGGTGGTTGGTTTATGGTGTGAGTGTAACTCTCCTATGAGAACATATGTGGGGGAGGTTTACAGGCTATATCTACAGAGGTTTTTGTGTTTAGAGTACTTATGTACTTGGATCTTGAAAACAGTAATCCCAAATGATTTTATTTACTTAATAGATGCAAATAAGAATACTTTCTCTCAATGGAACACAATCAAGTGTTTTTTGAATGAAAAAATAAGCAATGTTACAGTGTGAAATAAAAATTTCCAAAGACAGAACAATAATTTCCCTGACGGCTCATGGGGTTGAGTATTCTTTCATAAATTTGTTGCCTTTTTGAATTTCTTGTGAGAATTATTGTTCCATATTCTTTCCCTATTTTAATTATATTAAACTCGGGGGGTTTGTTATCTTTAAAATTTCATTACATATTTTGGGTATTCTTCAGGGGAATGGTTTATAACATTTTTTTCCTACTCTTTATGTAGTGTATTCATCCTACTGACCAGTTATTTCTTATGTAGAACTTTCTTCACATTTATCTAGTTTTGCTCTTATTTCTTGTGCACATAAGGTCTCATAAAAGAAAATCATTATCCATAAAAATGTCTTAAAGTGTTTCCTCTAAGTTGCTTTTTTCCTAGAAGTTCTATAATTCTTTTGCTCAAGATCTTTTGTATTTTCATATTTGTTTTAGTGCCTTTTGGAAGAGGCTGTGAAGAAGGGCGCTGGTATTTTGATGGAATTTGAACTGAAGTGTTTTCTAGGAAATTTCTCTTCCTTACTAAGCTTTTTTTGAGGAGGCAGGGAGTCCTTTTGAGACAGGGTCGTGCTGTGCAGTTGAGGCTGATCTTGAGCTCATTTTGAGGCCCAGGCTGGCCTCGCACTTGCAGTGATCCTCCTGCCTAAGCTCTCTGTTTGTTGGGATTACCCGGCCCGGCTTCCTTACTAAACTTTGAGCCCAGGGCTCCCATATGTCAGGCAAGTGCCCCTGCTACTGGGATACATCCTTAAATCTTTCTTTAAAATTTTATTTTGATACAGCATCTCATTAAGTTGCTCAGCCTCCCCTGAACTTGTTTTCCTCCTGCCTCTGCCTCCTCATTAGCTATATTTTAAAGGTGGTTTGGTTAGTAACAATATTATAATAGCATTAGTTCTTCCAGTTATGAACATATAAAGTCTTCATTTCTTATTTTCTTCAACTGTTTTCCCAGAGTTTGTCATTTGAATTGCAATGATCTTTCAATTCCTTGATTAAATTTAAATTTATTTCCAGGTTATTTATTTTTTTGTAGCTATTGTGAGTACAGTTGCTTTCATGGTTTCCTCTTCAGCAAGTTCCTTATTGGTGTATAAAACGTTATTGATTTTATATATTGATTTTGTATTCTGAGAATATACTGAAGACTGTCTTTTAATGGAGAGTAGATTTTTCTGTATACAGATTTGTATAATATGCAAGCAAGGTTAATTAGAATTCCACTCTCTGTTTCTTTTTCTTGCCTTATTGCTCTATAACTTCTAGAACCAACCTCTGTTGTGTATGGTGAATAAGAGTAATGAGAAAAAACCTTTTCTCTTCCAGATGCATTTCCATACTCAGTATGACACTGGCTATGGCTCGTCTTATAGTGCCTTCATTATATTGAGGTATGATCTTCTAGACATGATTTGTTTTGAGTTTTCTTCACGGGTGTCTAACTTTATTGAATTTTTTCTCTAGTAAGATAACCCTATGATTTTTCTATAATTCTGTAACATATTACATCCATTGATTTGTGTAGATTGAGCTGCCTTAATATCCCTGAAGTCATAGTCAGTGAACTATTTGATAAGCTGTTGAGTTGGATTTGGTACTATTTTCAGTATTTGTTCGTCTATACTCTTTAGAAATATTCATTTAGGGGCTGGGGATTTAGCTCAGCGGCAAAAGCGCCTGCCTGGCAAGCGCAAGGTCATGAGTTTGGTTCCCGGTACCATAGAAAAACCAAATACAAAACAAAAAAAAAAAAGAAATATTCATTTATAACTTTGGGTTTTTTTTAAACTAAAAATAGTCCTATCATATGATCCAGTCATTTCACTTCTGGATAAATTTCCAGAGGATACAAAATCAAAAAGACAGTTACTCAGCCACATTTGTTGCTTACAGTAGCTAAGGTATGCAGTCAACCTACATGGCCACCAATGGGTAAGACAATATATGAAATGTAGCATTTAAATGTAATGTAATATTATTTTGGGATAAAAAATAGTGTCATATTATTTACAGCAAAATAAATGAAACTGAAGGGAAATTTAAACTAAATAAAGAGAGACACATGCTCTAAATTCTGTTTCATATGTCATTGTTAAAAGGGTCACTGAAATATGTATACATAATAACTGGAGGCAGGGAAGGCCTGGAGAGGAGATAGTTTGAGAGGTGAGAAAACATAGGCAGACAAACACAAAAGTATTAATTTCTAGGGCTCTACAGGGCAGTGAGTGAACTGTAGTTCAAAATACCATAGTATATATTTTATTTTCATTAGAGAAGTATACAGCAAATATTCTTTTTACAATAATTTTGACTATGAGTCATAGTAATAGGGTAAAACTTATAGGAACTAGGATCACTGCCATTTTATTTTTAAATAAAATTAACCACTGTTATAATTTAAGGTTCTTAAGGTTAAAAACAAATGGATTGATTAAACTATTTAATTCAAAGATAGGGTAATGTAGTCCTGTTCATCCTCAACTCTCACTTTTAACTTTTCATTTTAAAAGTAATATGTTTTGTGTAATCATTTTTCAGAGATATTACTTGTTCTAACAAGTCACAAAATATGTATGTTGTGATAAAATATCCTCACAAAAACTGATTTATTGTTAAATATTGAAAATGTGCAAGGTTAAAGTGAGAGTTACAATGTATGTATATTGGCGATGTCAGTTATTTTAGGTCACTGTATCATCAGATAATGAAAAATGTACCAATTGGTGAGGGTATTTTTAATTAACTAACATCTATAATGCGTTAGTAAGCCAATATGAAGGGTGTAGGCAATTCAACTTCCTAAGTAGAGTGTGCTTGTTTATATTTTCATTTGATGTCAGCTTATAAATATAAATTAGTGTGACTAAAACTTAATGTCCTATAACACCAAGTCTCCCAAGACACTTTTCTCTCTAACCATGGTTGGTATCAGTATTTTGCAGTCAGCCAAGACTTCAGTTTCAAAAATCTTTTGATAAACACTTTGCATAACTCCAGTGAATTAAATCGCATTAGGAAAACATGGACAGAGTTAGATTTGACTTATCTGCCTAGCACTTAAAACCAATCCAAAGGGAATGCAAACCCCTCTGCATATGGCTGAAGTACAGTTACCAACCAAGGTTGCATGCAAATGAGAATGCATAGGCAGCATGAACATCTGTCTGCAGAGTCCTCTCTGATTTGCGTATCAAAATGTTATAGGCTTAGTTAAAGCAAGCAGTACTAGGGGAAAAAGTGAGGGAGACAGCTGCCTCGTGTTTCAGAACAAGGCAACACTCACTAATAGGAGTTGGGACCTGTCTAACCAAATCACAGAAATCTCAAATGGCTTCTCAGCGGTCTATCCATGTACACGGAAGCAGCGGAATCCTTAAAATTTCCTATGCATGAATAATGGCTAATCCTTTTACTCTATTCAAATGAGATTTCTTGCCTTTTACAGATCATAGGCAACTTCAGAAAAACATTAGAAGAAGAAATTTACTTGCAGTACATTTGCCTCAGATCCAGAAGTAAAATATTAGACAGCACACAATGATATCACTTTTATACAAAGACATGAGATGCTCAGTTTCCATTTTAGAAGCTAAGATCATTTAAATTTAATGTAAAATATTTAGAACATAAATATACACACACACATTCAGTTTAAACATTCAAATGGTTGAAGGTGTACAATCAATGGTTTAGTTATAAATTACTGGTTTAATGTTATTAGTCATTCTAAATGGTTTCCGTTACCTAAAAATAAATATAGAATTATGTTGTCTTTTTCTTACTCAAGCTATTAGTTATAGTAATTGCATGTTAACTGCTAAATATTTATAACTCTCAGTACTGATAACAGTTACGTTTAATGAAAGCAAGCACTCTTTCAAACATATTTTTCAACATTTTCATTTATATCCTTTACATATTCATTGGCACCTAGTTTTTCTTTTCTTAATAGCAATTAGCAACACACATGGAAACATACCATATAGGAAATGATCCGCCAGCTAGTGATCATCTTCAGGGGAAACTTCTTAGAATAAACTTTTTATCTACAAAATAGAGGAATGAATACCAATACTGTAACATTATTGTTCATATTAAATAAATGACAGTAAAATTTTTGCCATATAGAAAGTTTTTAGCATATTAAGTTATTCATTCATTCATCAAATTTTTTACTGAATTTCTGCTCTGAATTATATTTCCATACTGTTACATTCTGAGTTACTAGCATATCAAAAATAGATGTGCTAAAGGCCATAATACGACATAATCAGAGCCAAGAACATTTTCAAAGAATGGGATCTTTCCTTTCAAGGTAATGGTACTACTAATTTCTATTAGTTCATTGAAAAGAACAGTTAGTGCTCATATTGTTTGATCAAATTTGCATGCCTATATCTGGTAATCTGAGCAACTAATTTGAATATAACAGTATGCAATATAATGACCATTGTTAATTTCCTATCGTCTTGTTTTGAAATTCTGTATCATTTTTATTGCTTTTTTCTCTTACAGTAAAAAAATGAGTCTAGCACATAAAATGTAAATAATTTCTATTTGTTATTCCATGTTGCAATTTTCTATTTTGAAACATAATAATTTTAAGAAATAACTTAAATATTAACTTTAATTAAAATGCTTATTCTGGCCATTACAGTCTGAATCTCCACCCTCCACGAGTCCAGTGCAGACAGGAGATCCTCACGCAGAAGGCCCGCAACCAGCTATCACCGGGGTTCACGTGTAGGCTCTCTCTGCGCGGGCCCTGCACTGAGTGGGGGACTAGAGCAGACGCTCCCCGAGCTGCTGGCACCGCGGTTCTTGTCTGGGCTTTACTTGCGCCCTGACCTCCTGGAGGACACAGACACAGGTGGTCCGTGATCACCGCCATTACATTCGCATCTAGCTCCCGTGCGCATCCTGAGCTGCTTGGAGACACGGAATCAGGTGGTCCACACACTGTTGACCCTACGGTTTGTGTCTGGGTTTTGCCTGTACCCTGAACTGCCTGGGGACACAGGAGCACTGGTATGGGATTGTGCTTCCAGTGCAATCCGATTCTGGGTCGTAGGCGTGCCCTGAGCTGAGAGGGTTCTTTTAATAAAATAAATAATTCTTTGAAATTAGATAGATGCTCCTTTTATTTATCTACCCAGTGCTCACATAGTGTTTATTCCCTCACAGGTTGCTGATTTTGTTCTGTTGGCTACAATTTGAACATATGACTCACAAAAACGGATCACTTAACAGGTTCCAGTCATATACCCTGATTGATTTGAGATTGTGATAGCAACCTCATGTTTATTGTCATTGGGTAAATTTGAAAGACCGTATAACAAATTATGACAAACAGATGCAGGAAAAGATTTATGTAGTTGTGCAAAAACATATCTGCTTCCATAAAAGAAATTCAGTAATACAGAATCACTTTGCTTTTTATACATGCTAGTTAATCTGAATGTAAAACCTAAAATCACTTGAAGAATTATGTCTGGCTCTAAGTTAAAACAATACAGAACAAAATGGAAACAATAAACAAGAGGTTGAACCAGAACATTTGGAGCCCTCCCAATACATGGACTTCCAAATACCTGAAATAACATCAATTTCTATTTTATAAAGTACTTTGAGTCAGTTTTTCATTTTATTTGAAACCAAGGCCATGCAAAATGGAATTATCATCTTATCGCATATTGTTTCACCCTATTTTTTCCAGACAGTAGAATAGCATGTTAATTGGAGTAATTAAAAAAGAAACTTAAAAATGATAAATTAAAAGGATCATTCAGACATCTAAGGCTGAGCACATAGGGAGAGTGGTAATAGTAGAGCACTTGTTTTGCATGCATGAAGCCCTGGGTTCAATTCACTACATCACAAAATTTTTTTAAAATTGCAAAATAAAAAGAAACATGGTAACAGCAAAGAAAAGTCAAACTACTTACTGTTTTCTTAATGCAACATGCCCATAAGCCTGCCTTGAATTTCAAAAAGGTTATTCTCAGAGCTAACACTGAAGCACAAGGGGTGCTCTACATATTTATCCTAATAAGGTCTATATAGTTCAATGGAATTTTTAAACTTTCCTAAATTTCTTAACCTTGATGTAATAATCTCATTTACTGTATCTTTACACTTTTACATCATGTCAGAGTCTATGCTTCATGTAGTATTACAGAACAATGTAATTTATTTCAGTTCTTTAAAATTAAGTTCTTTACCTTAATGATCAGATTTCTGCTTAGCATACTGGCAGAATTTGTGGTAAAACCACTCGGGTCGAGGGACCTGGGCCTGCAGCAAGCGGCGTTGTGGTGAAGAAAGAGACACCGGAGACCAGGCTGATGGCACAGATCTACTTTATTGCAGAAGTACCAGGCATTTTATAGAGCAGGCTAGGGGCGTGGCAAGATGGGGCATGTTTATGGAGGGGAGGTACTGAGGGAGGGGAAGAGTGGGACAGCCTAGGCGGGGTAACTCATTCGGTTTGCCGAGGACATGATAAGTCTAAGTTTGCTCAGACTTGTTCCTCTGCCACGGCCATCAACCAGACCTCTGGGCCCCTGTTTCCCACAAGAATTCTCTGTTTTCCTATTCATTTTAAAACTATCAGCTTTCATTCTTACATTTTTCAAAGAATTTTACTGTTAGTAAAATTAGATTAGAGATAAGAAAGGAAGAAGATTTTATGAAAGCATACCTCTGTCTTAAGATTTTGGAAGACCAATATTAGTGCAACCTTTCCTTAAATTTATAGATTTTTTAAGATCTTTATAGCAGGCACTGTGAATCAGATACTCAGCCTTTATCCCCTCACAACCGGTTCTTCCATGATGATGATGTAGCAGAAATCCCCACCCCCACAGCCAGTATATTTCAGTTTGGTTGCGCTCCAATCTGCAGTGTCATGGACACATCCAAAAAGGACAAAATGGAGAACATACCAATGCTTCTCCATAGTATGGATTATCCCAATGTTGCCAAGAGGAAAATGGCCAGGCAGGCATTTAAATGGTCTTTCTCTCTGAGAGGCACCCACCCTTTGTCTGTTACAACATCACTCAGGTGTATACCATGCACATGTAGGGAGTCAGCAATGAGTTCCAATCAGTCTAAATCCATGGTCCCTAACTTCAATTCCAAGAATTTTTGAAAGGGCTTTTCTGGTGATTATGGAGTTACAATGAAATTAAACTGTTGTGTTTGAGCAAGACTCCCTGCTCCTGAGCCTGAATGAAGACCTAAAATTCCACCTTGGCAATTGCAGCTACAGCTCAACAAGGGCCAGCTCTACAGAAAGCAAAAAAAAAAAAAAAAAAAAAAACAACAAAGCAAACCAGTCCAGCACTTCTTAAAAGCATCAAAGAGGTGAGGCAAAAAATCCAACAACATGTCAAATGATACTACTATTCCCCAGAAGCCTGCATGGACCTAAAAGGTGTCATTTTCTGCCTTCAGTTGGCTCCTATCAGCTAGGCCCTCTTCACCTTTAAATGCAAAGACCCTAGGTCTGAATTCAGTGGTTAACCGAACTGGATTCAACATCCCAGGGATTCAAAAATTTGTTTAACCTCTTCAGAGAAGCTCCCACAGCTGGCCTCACTAGTTTCACAAAATATCACTGCACTTTGGGTTAATGACACCCAAGATACCTACTGGAAAGACAAAAGTCTTGCTGCAATATCTAGCAGGAACTGTCTGAAGGAATCTTGGGAAAAGGTACAAAACTGCAAACAATAAGTCAGATATCTTGGATTTGACTTTAGCAGAGACACTGTGCCCTTAGATCAAAAAGAAGAGGTCTTCTGCTCCCTGAGCTCACAAAAAAACAAGGCCCCTAGATGATGCCTTGCTTGAAAAAGACTCTAATACTTTTTGACAAAGATCCATAACAAGAAAAGTCTTGTTTGGAAAATAATCCCACTCTATATCTCCAACTTTGGGAATTCCAAATGTAGGAGAAATTCAACTTGTTTATTAAAGATGCTTACTCAGACTCTCAGCCCCTGGGAGTGCCCAGTGGCCTTCCTGTTCAAACACTGTGATCCAATACCTCAGGCCTTTGCCCTTTGCCTCAGTGCTCCAGCAGCCACTGTTCTCTTGATCAAGAAATCTGAGAAGCTCACCTTAAGCTAATACCTAACTATCCAGCTGCCAAATGTTATACTAGACCTGCTGAATAACTGTGGTTCAAACAGCTGGGTCACACAGTACCAAGGACTCTGCAAAAATCCTCACCTGCCTCTTACTGCCATAAAACCACTCAATACTGTCACATTTCTGCCCACCAAGCTGGGCTTAGCAGACCATGCCTGCCAGGCACTAAATGAACTGACCTGAAGGTGACCAGATTATAAATAAACCCCTTGACAGATGATGAGTACACCCTGTTTAGAGATGGAAGTAGTTAAAATTGGAGTCCAAAAGGCTAGATACACTGTAGTCACCTTGGACAAAGCTATTTTGCCTAAGCTCTCCTTCAGGGATGGTCTGAAGAGCAAACTGAACTATGGGCCCTCATACAGGCCCTCAATTGGTCTGAAAACAGAAACAGTCTACTGTTTCCTGCTACTGTCTGAAACTCACCAAAATATTAAAACATTCTGACCACAAAAGAAAAAGTCATGTCTTCCCATGCCTGGCCAGCATCTGCTCCACTATCTGCCACCTATGCCAAAACACACTCAAAATAATCTGGGTCCAGGGGCCTATCTTGGATCCCATCTCCTTCCAGGATCCAACTGACTAAAACATCAACCTTTAAAAACCTTAAAGTAAATCCTCATAAGGATTACAGGTACATCTCTATTGGTGCTTATATGCACCTACTCAGGCTGGGCCAAGACATTCCCTACCTGCAGTGAGAAGACAACAAAAGTTTGTAAGGTCTTGCTGTGAGAAATTATCCCTAGATATGGCAATAAGGCCTACCCTGACTATTGGCAATGAAAAAAGAATAGAAACATAACCCTATAGGAGTAACTTGTAACCAGTTCCATGAAAACTTAGTTAGAGACCAGCAATACTTGTGGACACCCCTGCCCACACACATAATGCAGGTGCAAATTAATTACCTCTTAAAGTTTCAGAAATCTAGCCTTAGATCCACCATTCCAGAGTTAAAAGAGCTCATTCAGAGTACTGCTGGAGATTTTACCTGGACATGACAGCTCCTCCAAAGCTCACTCTGAAAAATCCACCTAAAGCCCTGCTCTGATCACTCTGGATGCTGACCAGTTCATGCATGGCTGAAGTTTGAGGACACTGTTCACAGGATTGCTCCATACCTCAATATTTTACTTCCCTTGGCTGTTTGTACCTTTTCAAGCTGCTTAGCCCAGTCCTTCCTCCATTTCAGCTTGCATATATGTACTCAATAGTGTATTGTCCAACTTGGTTTTTCCTCCCCGCTCTCCTACTAGCTGTTCTTTTTACCTTAGTTCTATGGCTGATTTTCCTGAAAGAATAGAAAACAGCCAACAAGGCCCTTCCCTCTAGTCTACAATTGACTAACATTTTACAAGCATCCAAGGCACATTGGACACTCTCCTAGATAAGATTAACTCCTTTGCTTGCTTGCCAGACTAATAATAAATCATGAACATTAAGGAGGAAATACATTTCTTCCTAAAATAAAAGTGCTGTTACTATGATAAAAATTGGAATAATAAGAGAAACAAACCACAAACCTTCCAATCTTGAGAACATTGGTTAGGGCCCATCTTATGGCCACTGATAGCCTTAAAGATACTGCTTCTAACTGCGCCTTGTATAATTATAAGCTTACCTGGTTCATCTCAGAAGATCACGTATAACATTTCCAGCAAAGATTTGCCAGGAAACTAAAAGAGGGTGGGAAATCGTAGAAGACAATGCCTCCCTCTTCACCAGCCAATATACTTTAGTCTCTGTTAGTTGCCCAGGTAACCTCCAGTGTATTTCAGTTGCTGTTACTTCTGTTTCCCAGAAACAGCTGGTCACTGTAATACACATTGTACAAACCAATCCCCAATTGACAAGCCCTTCTGCTTCTGTACTTCCCCTTTGCAACTAGAGAAAAGCCTCCCTTCCTGAGTCTTACGGGCCTGATATTTTTAGGGGTCAGTACCTGTCAGCATTAAAGAAATCTACCCCCAAATGCTGGGTGATGTTTTGGTATTCTGTTTGCCACTGCAATGGCAATTCTAAAATATGTCCTCCTAGACTCTGGGGAGCTCCTGTGCAATAGCATTCATGTTAACTTTAACGATTATGAAGCAATTTATTCTTGCAACTTCTGGGAGTATTAAAAAACTAAGAGTTTGGTCATTAACCCTCCATTTTTTTTTTTCTTTTGGCCCTTTTTGGAAGGTAGCCTGATAGCCTTCCCAATAACAAAGTACACGGGGCTGATCAAAATACATACTGAATATTTAGTTTTTTAAATATACTACAATCAAAGCAACACAGCTATTAATTTGTCTGAAAATCCTTCCTCTTGATTTGAACACATTTTTCCATTCTCCCTGTTTACTTCACAAGCAGTTCTGGAAGTCCTCATTCACGAGTGTCTTTATTGGATGCGATTAAAAAATACAGGGAATGCTGCTGCTAAGTGCTATTCGCCAAAAAGGCAAGCTTGTAAAAATGTTATGTGTTTCCTCATCTACTTTATTCAACTGAACTGGTAATATGTGACTTCTAGCTCTTCCCCGAAGTCTAAGTTATAATACAAGGGTAAATTCCTGAACATAGAATCAACGATGACAGCACACATAAAGAAACTCATGCAAAAGGACTTCCAGAAATGCTCTAGAAAGAGGCAAGAGTATAAGTAAGTTTCAATACAGGGGGCAATGTTTTGATAAAGTTTAACGGCAAGGTTTATTGTAATATATTTTAAATTTAAAAATTCACCATAACTTTAGATCACACCTCATATTTTAGGATAGATTCTTTCCTAGATTCTAAGAGGTGTACCTCATTGTGGAAAAACTGTGATCACAGCTCCAAGGCTCCTGGAATACATAGTTAAAGTTTAGAGCACATCTGCAGGGCAACAACAGAGTAGAATCAACAATAATGTATTCTAAAAGACGCTTGCTTGGCCGTTGTGTCTCTCATGTTCCTATAAGGTTGCTTGAATGAGGTAAATATGTGTCACATAGCAAATCATCCTATTCCTTCCATGCCCATAGATGAAATCTCCTATATAAATACTGGGAATATTTTTCTTCTACATCTTACTCTAAAGTCCTGCAGTCACACATAAGTATCCACAGAAGCTTCAGTTTGGCATTGTTTCACTGACACTTTCCCATGATGGGTTGTCTCTGAATAAGCTACCCCTGGCTTCTCAGTGATCTGACTGAATTTTTGTTCTGAGTAATCTATCATCCTCTGTGCTGTCACAGGGGTAGATGCTTCGAATAGTAACTTACTTTTTCTGCCTATTTAAAGTTATAAAACCTATTTGTGTTGTGCTATTAGAATTAAAAATTAGACACTTATTCACAGATACATTAAAAATATCCATTCTTTCTTAATATATTGAATAATTTCCCCTTGAAAGTTTCTAACCTATCCAAAGCAAACACAACATTAGGAATCAAAATATAGTTTTAGTATGATAAAGTAGATGTTGAGGAAGGAGCTATAGCATCTCCAAATGAAGATTTTCAACTGAATCCTAGAATAAGCATTATGTACTCAATGACATGCACTAGTATTCATGGGTATTTTCTATACCTTAGAAGAGGGTTTACCCAAAGAGAACAGAAGTGATACTGCACAAGAAAAATTAAACTTATGTTTTATTTGGACAGATTTCACCTCAAATGAAAGTAGACAGGGCTAAACTACCCAACTCTGCTAGTCCTAAGCATACTAGAGAAACATGGCACTCGGTAAACTTGCCTCCATCCTGAAAGGACCAGTACTGGACAGTAAATTTTGAGAGTATTTAAAGAAAATCTCTACACTTGAGAAAAGCTCTGGAAGGCATTCTGCCTTTAAGCTATACAAATGGTAATGACTTTCATATGGCGAGTATCCAGTCATTTTTAAACATCACTTTCAACACTTATCTAACTCTTTAAACAAAATTCAGCTTGTGAGAAGAACATTTGCTTTACTTTCTGCATATATTTATTTATTTATTTGTATTTTGCACTTCACTGCAAAAGGACATCAATAAATAGTAGCTATAATTAATCATATATTTGGCTTCTATTAAAATTGCTTGAAAATTGTATGAACATAAATCAAACAAATATATTTGACTAATATTGGGGAAAAATAACACTTTGTTACAGAACAAAGAATGGAATATTTTTAGTTGAATGAGATTAATCCATTGTTTCAACATATATATATATAAATAGGACACAGATAGTGTTTTTCATGAATCTTGAAATATATTTTCTGAAGTTCTCATGTGAAAAAGTAGTTGAAGTAATATTTCTCATGGTGAAAAGGTGGGGATTTTCTCTCATCTGTTCTCTCACCTATGTAATTATTTCACAGTGAGGGTCCTTACATGTCCAGGAAGAGTCCTGATTTTGGACTTTCATTCTCCTCTTCCCACAAGCTCCTTTCTTTCCATCACTAGCTTGGAGAAGCCAGGGCAATGTCAAGATTTTGTGCAAACCTGGTCCTGGATTTCAGAAAGCAGACTTCGATTCATAACTGTATGAGACACTGTTTTGTTTTCCAATGACATCAATAAGGGAAGGTATGCAATTAATATATAGGATGAAAGGTATTACAGAAATTAACAGTATGAAAAAAAAGAAATTAACAGTATGCTTTTGAAATGGCACCAGAATTGTTTTTTAAAATTGGAAATGGAAAGCACAGATAAATATAAGTGAATTTATTATTTGAAATTAAAATGTAAAAAAATTTGTAAAATAAAAAGAAACATGAATAAGTTGCTTATGGCAAGGTAAGCCGTAAATTTATAAATTATAAAAACTTAATATCTTGAATTCACATAGAATTCCTCATGTCCCTAGGAACACAAATTATTTCGTTAAATTGGGATAAAGGTTTAAATACACAATTCACAGAAAGATACCTCAGATAAAAATTCTTGACTTCTGTTATGTCATAGAGGCAATTACTTTCATTTTTTTTGTACCTCTGCTGCAACAAATTTGGAACAGTGTATCAGTGTCACAGAACAAAAGAAAACACATACACAGACACAGACACACACACACAACACACACACAAACACAAAGTCAAAAAGATATATTTCTACTGGGGAATATAGTAGTTCAGAGTCAAGAAAACAAAACCTGAGTCAGAAACGCAAATACCCACTTACAGCCTAAACTGCAAACTCCTAAGAAAGTTGTACACCCATGACTGATGATGAGTTATATTCTGAACTCTATAACTCATAACAAGGAAGTACGCTGGAGGCATTCTTACTGAAAGGTCCATAGTATAAAATTTCCACTCAAATCATATAGTAATGACTATATTACTTGAGTGAATTAGCAACAGCCTTGAGTATTAAATACATGCAATGAATGTAAAGAATTTAAGGACATAAAGAATATATCTTGAATTTCAGAAAAGTAACATTACATATGTATTTTAGATGTATGTTCATTCATCTGTATAGATAAGGATTTCACTTTAAATTTGTTACTGTTTTATTTTGCTGTGATTTCCAATCCACACACAATCAGAGTGAAGACTGGGGGTGTAGGTCAGCATAATGCACTTTTCTGCCATATATGAGCCTCCGGGTTGGCTTTCTAGGTCTGGAAAAGCAAATAACAAACAAAACTTATGTAAAAGCCAGTTCATTTTTAATTTGAGGAAAATGATTAATATTTTCATCCTTACTTAAATGGTTACCCTAGAACACAGTGCAAATGATTTACTGAATAAAAATAACGATGGTGCTGATGAAACCAAATTGCATTCATTGAAATCTTTTTCAGAGCTTATTCTCCAAGTCCAATTTTTTTAGATTACTTATTCAAATTATCACATGTCTGTCATTTAATATTTAAGAAAGAGGCAGGTAAATGATTTTACGTACAGATAATACTGCCTGTAATATTTGAATCATGGCAGTCCTATTTGAGAAGCAGTTACTTTTGTTCTATGGACTTTTTTTGATAGGGGGAGATATATTACTTTCTGCTCTGATGTCATCAATTTAAATGTGCTTAATAAGGCAACAAATATTTTTAACGTATTTGTTCTATTCTAAAACATCATACAACATATTGAAATATATACATGGAGATGTTATCCATGCTTTGAATTCATTAACTTGTAATGCTTTTAATTTTCAATTCAAAATTTAGTTCTAAGTCATCTATGAAATGTTATTTTCTTTAATTTTGGAAGAAAACAAATTATTTTAATAATTAGTTTTTTTATATAGGGAGTTTATTTAGTAGTACTTTTTGATTGAATTCAATTTTCCTTTTATCTCTGCTAATTTATTTCCAAGTCTAAAAGAAAATTAGTAGCTTGAATGCACATTTGATTAACTGCTTACTGACCCTGGGTCAATATCTCTACTTAGTTTTATTATTTTCCATGTGAGACTCAACTCCCTGGTGGACTAATTTAAATAAACCAGTGCACAATATTAATTAAGTACACTGTTGTGTGCAAAAGCAGTGAAATGTCTCTAGAGCCAAAGATCAACTCTTCTTTCTTTGACAAGTATATACTTTCTTTTAATGTCATCTCTCTATTGCTGACTTTCTTCCACTCTAAATATGGATCAGCCATTCTTAGGCAACCTCTCCCGTGGCCTCTTTTATTATTAAGACTACCTAGTTTTCTAGATTCTAACCTATTAACTGAAATTTAATCTTTGGAGAAATTAAAATTGAACATTAAAGTGTTAGAAAGTTTTGTTATATGGAAACCTAGAG